GTTGATTGTAAACACTCTAAGTTCATCTTCATTGGGAAAGCTAGCGTGTCTCTGACATAGTGATAACACTCACTGCCTTCTCTAGTGCAGCTCAACCAGCTCTTGTCCCATTCGTCGATCTTTGTGATATCACAAATCCCGGAAAATATGCGTTGTAGTCCAAACGAGTCGTTCGTTGTAGTTTTTGAAAAGTGATTTCTGTTAAATAAAATATCTCCTTTTGAAGTCGACTTTGAGCTTTGTAACTTTGCAGATCTTTTTTATGCTCAAACAGCAACAAATTGCAGACTAACTCAAGCTGAAAAAATGAAAAAGCAAAATAGGACCCCTTTAACATTCATGGAACCTTTCAAGGTTCTTTATAGGATCTTCAGAATATTATAATGTTTATTACACTAAGAAAAAAGGGTTCTTTTTGAGAACTAATCACTGAAAGTTTCTTTAACAAAGCAAAATGGTTCTTCTTATTAGCTTTATTTTTAAGAGTGTATGGTTCTAATTCTCTATTAATGTTCTCACAGCACTTAATTTTAAGGTTTACGTTACTCGTTTCTACTGGATAGATGCGTTTATGCAGGTAAATGATGTGTGAGGAGGATTATGATGCAATATTAAAATGAGCTGTAGCTGGTGGGTGGAGTCTTACATCAGGGGCGTGGTTTAGCCTGTTAGTGAAATTGCTACCTCATGTTTTCATGTCTGAAAAACACACAGAGGGAAAATGGCAACAAAAAAAGGCACAGGGTGTCAAAATAAAAGCACAATTAAGACAAAATCCTTGCAAAAGATGTGAATTAGATTACAGCTAATGTAAATACAGTGGTTTGCAAAAAAATAGATAAAATAGTCAAATTACGATTTAAATGAACCCCTTTTTGCTTATAGTGAACCCGTTAGTGACTGCATTCAGAACATGGATAGACTGATTGTAATTTTAAAGCATTGTATAAAAAGAAGAAGAAAATTTTTTCTATATTGCATTGATATCTATTGACATATTTCATGATCAAGCCCTAGCATTTTGACTAGCTAGCATTATTTTAAACTCCCATTGCTTCACTCCAGAAATTGTTTTATTGATTAAGGTTTGTTCTTATGTCATATGACTAAATGTGCCGTTA